CTTGAACATGAATTACTATGATTTCATTACTACTCTAGTAACTAGTCATATTTTTGTAAATCATCTTTATTCTGATCATATTTATGTAATTATTTCATAAAGAATAATGACATAAATCAATGAAATGTAATACATATTGTACTCTAACTTTTTAATAGGATACAATAGATTCATTAATCGTGTATAGAAGAAAATCTAAATATATTATTTATGTTTATGTATATAGTCATAGCATTCACCATACCCGAAACATAAAAATGTTTTGAAATTTCTAAATAGAATTACAATGTTTTTTTTTTAATTATGTGTAATTATCGTCAAGCTTAGATAACAAGATCACTTATATAGTGTCATAAGTGACAATATCTTACAAGTTTAAAAGTAATTACTACGTAGTAATATCTAGCCATAAAACATTGTAATCATAATTTAGCGATAAAACATTGTAATTATAATTTGAAATTTTCAAATGTTTTTTTAGCAGGAGTTTAAAGGCATTTTTCGAGACAATTCTTTGAGTGTATTACATCGTAGAGAGCAATCAGCCACAAAAAAAACATACTTGTATTATTCAATATATTGTAGATATGGACAGTGGCGGCCACACATGGGGGCTATGGGGGGCTGCCGCCCCTCTGGCGAAAAAAAATTCTAGGTATATTTACTCCGAAATTTTTAATATATATGTATTTGTATTTATATTCTTGTACTGCCGCCCCTGCTATTGGGAAATCCTGCGTCCGCCGCTAGATATGGATCAAAGTAGATGGGGACTACAGCTAGGCAACCAAGAATTGAAATTTTTTTTAAATGTTTTTATTCCTATATATCACAATTTTCTTATTACTTTTTAATATAGTGCACATATATATCCATTTAGTGTTGCACATTTACTATATGATATCGCTTTCACATTTTTTTAAAAAATGGACCATTTATCAACAAATGTGAATCATAATCTGAATGTAATTGCAATAATAAAAAGCTGTAGGCTTTTCCGTCAATTCTTAATACGAAGTACATTTTTAAATGATTTATTTCAAATTTTATGTGACAAAAATATAATACACTACTTCCGTTCTTTATTAATTGCAACACATTGACTTTCACGCTGCCAACCCACGATTTTGATTGTAATTATATTGAATTACGTATTACTACGTAGTAAATATTATAAGTTCTGCCATTAGCTACCCTTTCGCTAAATTTTAATTAGGCTCAGCCTATTTACTTTCTCGTTATAATTTGTTCTTTTACTAAATTGGTAAGGTGTTACCCGACCCTTACCCCATCCTCGGATGGTTTGCCACCGGCGCTGAAAAAAATATATTATAAGAAGTTAATATTTTGAAAATTCACATTAATAAAAATTTAATAATATTTTATACTCCCTCCGTCCCCTTTTAAATGTCTTGTTTTACCATATTGGGATGTTCCTATTTAATTGTCTCATACGTTATTTGGTAGAGAGAATTCCCCAAATAGGAGTAAAAGATAGGCAAAATGCAAAAATAAGAGTACCATGTTTTGAATACGAGTAACTTTAGTGTTTAGACAAGTATATCCCTACCCAAGTCCCAACAACTTTCATTAATAATTAAAAGATAAAAGGAATAACATTAATTTATAATAAAATTGTAAAAAAAAAATGAAAAAACACAAAAATATATCAAATAAAACATACGTAGTACTTCGTATTAAATAAAATTAATAAAAATAAAAATTATTAAAATAAAAAATATTAAATAAAAAACTAAAAAATTAAAATTAAAAAAAAAACCAAAAAAAAATATGTAGGCTTCTACCGCCGCCTCAACAACCTCCCAGCACCACCAGCTCCGACCACCGAAAAAAATGCCATCATTTTTCCGAAATGCCGTCATGATGGCAGATTTTGAGAAAATTTGGCATTTTCAAAGAGCAAAACTGCCATCTTTATGACATTTTCAAAGAAAAATGGAAGTTTTAACATAAGATGGCATTTTTTCCGCCGATCGGAGGTGACATTGCTGGGTGATGGCCGAGGTTGCGGCAAAGGCCTGAATAATTTTTTTATATTTTTTAATGTGGTTTATCTATTTTTTATTTATTTTTAAATTTTTTTATTTTTTTAAAAAAAATATTTTTTTAATTTTTATTATTTCAATATATATTTTCAAATATTTTAGAATTTTTTTTATATTTTATTAGGATCAAATAAGTCATATTTTAGAATTAACTAGATTAGGGGTATTAAGGGTACAAAATTAATGTTTACTCCTATTGAAGGAAGTTGTAAGTTTCACTCCTATTTGTGCAATTATGTTTACTCCTATATTGGGCAATTTCTCCATTTGGTAAAGTTTGTGTGACTCAAAATCATTCTTACTTTATCAATTAATATCAACCACACAAATCCATTTTTCTTAAAACTCGTGTCACATTCTTCCGGGACATTTAAAAGGGGATGGAGGGAGTACAATATTATTTAACTAGATATATTGGTAGAAATCATAAATCATGATAAGGTTTGTGAATAATTTCAAAATGACAATATCGCAGCTATAAAACGGAAATTAGTCAAATTACAAGCGCATTTAATGGAATTGATGATCCAATTATAAGTTGTCAATTATCCTAAATTTTGGGATGACTTCAAATACAGATGTTCATATGCTCATGGCTGACGTTTCCTCCGATCAACTTGAAACTTTATACTCCCCCGTCCCATTTAAAATTTTACATTTTTCTTTTTGGGACATTCCATTTACTCTTTTACGTTTCCTTTTTAGACAACTCCTTTTACATTAAATGTTTTAACTACCCTTCACTACCCACTTTTTACATTTGAATAAATAGCATTAATTCCCCCTAAAAGTCAAAAGGCATGCAAGACATTTGTTCTTCTATTAATTGAGCTCTTAAAATACCATGCCAAAAGCAATCATCAAGTTCTATCCGCATATTATATGTCACATGCTCATAAGTCACACGCATGCTCATTAATTTTAGTTGATAGAGAATTAATTAAGGAAATTACAATAGATAGAACTTAAAATGTTTGTATATTTTAAAATAGAACTATAATGTTTTTATTACCCAAATAGAACTAATTGTTGTTATGTTTTGGTAGTACCAAACTTTAAATATGTTATTTTTTTTTCAAATTTGGCATTGCTTGCTTCTATTTCGGGCACAAAAACACGAATCCCTATATCCTACATCCGGCCGGGTGTGCACGTACATCCAGTCCAAATAACAAAAAAAAAATCATTAACTAATACAACCCATAATCAAGACGTCCAATGTTTGAGGTGGAAAACAAGCAGAAGGGGCCATTTATTTCGTTGGCATTTTTGTAATTTAAGCGAAAAATCACGGCTTCAGCTAAATGAGCATTAGTGTACTTTTAGTGAGCATCTGGACTAATCTATTGAGTATTAGAAGGCCAACAACAAACATCGTGATCTCTGCTTCATATCATCTGTAACAACAACCAGGTCGGCACCACTCAACATGTTTAACTACGCACTGAGCTCGCTATATATGACTTTAAATCCATATTGAATTTTTTGATTTTGAATTTATTGAAAATTTTATCAACCCACGGTTGAGGCCGTGGATGTAGCAACTAACTTGTAAGAGCAGGAAATTAGAGCAGCGGAACGGAGACTTCCAAGCTCGAGCTCATGTTCATTTGTAGGCATGTAGCGGCGTATCGCCTTCTTCTCCGGAAATCATTTCAAAGCGGAGTGTACTCTTTTTCCTACATTGGGTTTTTTCCCACAAGGTTTTTTCCTCAGCGGAGTTTTTACTGAGGCCCCCTTTGTTATGACCATGGAGAGAAGTGCTCCCGCCGGGCGCGCCAGCCCAGAAGTTAGAAGGTTTACTCTCTCTCACCTCAAGTGTTACTTTCGCTTCGGAGAGTGGGGGACTCATGATGGAGTATATTTCCATATACCCCAGGGGTACCACAACTGGCAAACGAAAGGCCCCCGAACATGCATCTCAAACGCATAAGGACAGGGGTTCCAACCGACCTCCGACACCCAGGGTCGGATAAAGACGTTAGACGATGAATCAACAAAGGCCAGAAATCCGGCCGAGGCCGACCTTGACCCCCACCTTGAGGTCGGAGCTCGAGAATCGCTTGGATTAGGCCAAATATTAGGCCGACCTCGGGCACGTCGAGCTCGGTGCCAACTCTGACCTCTGACACTGACACAAGGTCAACCTAAGTCAAACGAAGTCAACGAGGGGGTCAACTCTACTAGACAAGACCGAAGACCGGAGATAAATCCTCGAGTGATGGACGTAAGCATCCGAGCTCTGACCTCCAGGAGCTCAGGATCTCCCAACACTATATGGACTTGGGCATTTCCCGGATTGAAGCAAGCACTACATAGGCTACTGCCACGTCACCGATATTATAGGAAGCGCCACATCACTCCAAGTGAATGCTATGAAGAATATTCCGGATAATACACGTGTAACCCGCATATGTATTCCAGTACTAATTTGTTACATGCAGTTCCAATCAGCCAGCTGTCCCACTTATCTCTTCAATCACTTTCACACGTGTCAACACTCCATTAGATTAGTCTAATTATTCTGTTAGACAGGAAGGACACATGTTCACTCCACAATAGAATAGCATCTTTTCACTTTATGGTCACCAAGTATTGTCTTTTTAGTATAAATATCACCCTCCAACATGTGGAAAGAGATCCGAAATACAATTCTCTTGTTGTTACTCTACTGAAATACACGCTCGATCTCACTCAGCGATTTCGCCGATCTTCTCCCTTATTTTCCCGGATTCCGGCTATCCCCGGGGTCGACAATCCATCAACTATATTGGTGTCATATGAAAAATTATAAAATACTTTGTAATATTAATGCGATACATTTTGTATACAAACAGATTCCAAATGAAAAAGCTATAACATTCCACATAAAACATTGATTACCCACATGTCATGAAACTATTAAATGATGGGTTATTTTCTTTAAAGAAATTACCGGGATTCCACCAATTTTTAGGGTTGTTTATTTGATTTTAGCAATGTTATTAGTTTTAAAAGTTGAAGGGGCAAACTTGTAACCACAAGGTTGCGTTGACTAATATGGGGTGCGCATAGAAACTTTATAGGATGACTTCGCTCGATCATGTCTCATGGCTGATGTACTCAACTTGGATGTGCCTAAGATTGTAGATACCCTCGCTCGGAACAAAATTGTAGAGGAAAGAAAGTGCATTAGAATTCAATAGCTATAAATCCAAGCTCAATTCTCCGTCCGATTTAACTAAGAAGCAATGGAGCTGGTCTTCATTCCCGCACCTATGATGGGTCACATAGTATCAACTGTCGAAATGGCAAAGCGCTTAATGTGCAACGACCGGGACAATGAGGTTATTATCAGCAGCGTCACCATTCTCATATTGCAGCAATGCTCTTTCGATGACGAAATCAGCCAATACATTCGGTCCCAAACAAGGACGGCGGATGACTCCCGCCGTCCGAGCTCATTGAAGTTTGAGACGCTCACTCTGCCCCTGCCGACCGGCAGCGGCCCCGCTGTAGCAGGGGTGCAGTCCGTCGACGCCTTCAAACCCCGAGTAAGAGACTGGGTTTCCGGGAAAAACCTCCGATCCTCGGGGAGGTTGACCTTCGTGGTTGACTTTTTCTGTACGGCCATGGTCGACGTCGGGAAAGATCTCGGCATCCCAACCTATGTGTTCTTCACCTCCGGCGCGGCGGCGCTGGGGGTTCTCATTTTCTCTATCGAGATCGTCAAATCATTATCCGATCATCCTAATAACCCCACCCCCTTCTTAGACATCCCCACTTACCAAAACCCATTTCCGGCAAAGTGTATGCCGCCGCCGCTTCTGAATGAGGACTCCTCCCATATGTTCCTCCGCATCTCCGAAGGGATTAGAGCGGCGAAAGGAGTACTGGTCAACACATTCCTAGAGCTTGAATCACACGCGGTCAACGCCCTGAATGACGACCCACGCGCCCCACCCATCTACCCCATCGGCCCGTTGCTGAACCTGGAAACGGCGGCTGCCGGCGGCGAAACAGAGCAGATTTTGGAATGGCTAGACAGGTGGCAGGAAGAGGGGTCTGTCGTGTTCCTTTGCTTCGGGAGCATGACTCGTTTCAGTACTGAAGATGAGGAGCAAGTGAAGGAGATCGCTACATCTCTGGAGCGGAGCGGGCAGAGGTTCTTGTGGGCCTTCCGGTCAGCAGAGGATGACGGCGGTCAAGGAAGGCGGCTGCTGCCCGATGGGTTCCTGGAGAGGACGGAAGGGGTGGGGAAGGTGGTCAACGGGTGGGCCCCTCAAATCGCCATACTGGCCCACCCGGCTGTGGGGGGCTTCATTTCCCACTGCGGATGGAATTCAACTCTGGAGAGCCTCTGGTTCGGGAAGCCGATCGGAACCTGGCCTATGCGAGCAGAGCAAGAAGCCAATGCCTTCCTGTTAGTGAAGGAGATAGGGGCCGGAGTAGAGATAAAGCTGGCTTCCAAGACGGTAGTTTCCGACGGAACTGATGAATTGGTGTCAAAGATAGTGCTGGCGGCGGAGATTCAACGGGGAATCGCGCAGCTTATGGATCCTCTGAATCCGGTTAGGCTAAGGGCCCAAGAATTGGGTGATAAGGGCAGAGGGGCACTAGCGGAGGGCGGCTCGTCCTACACATCCCTACTACGCTTTGCTCAACATGCACATTTCATCACAGGCAATTGATTTGGAGCCCGTTTGGTAGCACCAAAATCGGCTGTTTTGGCTGATTCTGCTGAAATTTATGATTTTCTGGCTGGAGTGGCTGTTTGGGCTGATTCTGCTGATTTAAGAAAAAAATATTTTAAAAATATATTTTATTAATAAATTAAAGAAAAAATTATATGTAAAAATAGCTAAAATGGTCCTCTACAGTAACTTCAGCCAATACAGCCAGAAAAGTAACTCCAACCTTACTTTTTCGGCTTATTACACAATTCAGCGCGCGAAAGTAAAAGTTACGTGTTTGGTGAAAAAGCTGGCTGATAAGCCTGATAAGCCGAAAACAGAGTTCTCCAAACGGACTCTTGATGTTTAATAGCTAACGCATTCTTGCTTAAGTTTTTCCTACAAATAAATGTTTATGTTTTCACATTATCAAGCAAACACACATGTAATTTACCCGAGATCGAGTAAGTCTTACTTAATTTTAAACTTGTTTTGTACTACAAAACGACTGGAACATAATCAAGTCAAACTCAAGTTATATACAACCTCAATTGAGAACCTCACAAGTTACTTACCAATGAGTTAATGTTGATGGTTTTAGATTCATACATACCCCCTCTGTCCCGAAAAGGTTCGTCAAATTGTCTTTTCTTGGTCAATGACAATCAACTTTGACCAATGATATCTTTTAATATGAAATTATTTAGAATATGAAAGTTATATCAAAATGTTTCGTATTCAAAATATTTTCATAAAAATATAAAATTTATATATTATATACAAATATAATACCTTAAATGATTGCCCAAAGTTCGTCATCATTGACCAAGAAAAGTCAATATGGCGAACCATTTCGGGACGGAGGTAGTATGACATTACAACATATATCCATATTAACGGATAATTATCAATGCATAAAATTGTACTTATCGTCAATTAAAGTGTAACGCCCCTCTCAGGGTTAAAGGATACGTTACACTAACTTATTACTTCTAGAAATAATTACAATATAACGGCCGTCTATTTAAGAAAATAACCCTGATAAAATCTCAAAAGTAACTAAAACAACTCCAAATAAAAACTTAATAAAATATAGTTATCACCAGCAAATGTGACAACCACCTGGATCCAGGAATTTATTCAAACATCAAATCCTTAAATAAAATAAAATAATAATAATCTCTTTATTATAACACTGAAGCAAAATAATATCTAGCAAAAAGCCGCCAAGGTCGTTCCCGTTAACTCATCTTGGCACGCGTTCCACTCCCTCATCATCTTCCTAGGCCTTGGGCTTACCCTTAGTATCTGTACATGCGAAGAAAGAAAACTGATAAGCTTTACGCTTAGTAAGTCACTATGGATCCACAAAAATATCTAGAAGTCTATGTCAATTTATCAATAGATAAATTTAGGCTATAAGCATGCACTGAACAAATAACTAACACATAACTTCTCAAATACATTTTGAGGGAGATCTCAAAAGAAAACTCTTTTCGAAAATAATTTCTCAAAACTGCTGGAGAGATCTCAAAAAGATTTCTTTCTCAAAACATCTCTGTAAAACTTTCTGAAAGAGATCTCAAAAACACTTTCTGTAAAACTTTCTGAAAGAGATCTCAAAAACAACTTTCTGTAAAACTTTCTGAAAGAGATCTCAAAAACAACTTTCTGTAAAACTTTCTGAAAGAGATCTCAAAAACAACTTTCTGTAAAACTCTTTGTGGCTAATTTTACTCTGTGGGCCCGTGATATGTACCCAAAGGCGCCAATCCGACAGCTCAGGGGAGCGACCCACTAAACATATCGGACTCTCTGAAACTCTGAAACTCTGATTACTCTGTGGGAACTTGTTCCCGGGTACATATCACTTAATCTTTCACTTTAAATATTAGTTCTTTTTATAGTGTCGTTTGGATAACCACATCATTAAATCAGAAAATAAAAATACTGACAAACTCTTGACTATGCCAGATAATAATCATCACTTAATGCAACAAATAAAATAACTCAGCAAATAACTCACCAAGTTTACAAACTTCACATAATAGCAAATAGTCTAAAATCATCTATTAAAAATCAACCAGACTTCTTCCTTTCATTTGGTTGAACAAACATGTACAGGTGGTAGTGAACTTACATGATAGAAGCAGAATTCGAACTACTCAACAAGTATGGCACCTTGATAACGTCTTCCGATAAGCTCTTCACTTAAATCTTTAGTTAAAATAGTCAAAATTTAGAATTCTTGTCTTAATAAGCCAAGCAGCAAAAAAAACTTTGTTTCCAATAAATGGCTTTTGAATCTGTATATTATATTCCTTTTAGACTGAAACCAAAGGCAACAGCCTAAGTGGCCAGCGATCATCTATTTAGGGTAATACAAATTTCAAAACGAAACTTCAAACACATGCTTAAAATTTTACAATTCAACTGAATTTTCAAAACAGGTGCTAAACTATCTTTACTCCCCTTAAACACGTCTAAAATCCTAGATGGGTGTAAAATTAAACTCACCAGACTTAAGGTGATTCACGGCACATATGAGAGATGGTAATTGTCCAAGAGAATAAGAGGGGAACGGCTCCTGGGAACAGAGACATCCTATGTATACGACTACACCTATGTTTCTCTTTCTAGTTCTAGGGCTTCTAATCAGAAAAATACTCCTAAAATTTCAATCGGGCTGAAATAACCAGCTTGGATTTTTTTAAATGTCTTTTGAAAATGCATCTGACCCTTATCTGAATATCGTTCTTACTTCTCACGGTAGAAAATAAAACTAAAGGACTGAGTGAAGAAGCTTACCGACAGAGAGATGATGATGCAAAGAAATCTGACTAAGCTTTGGCGGAAGGAAAATTTAAAGTTGGAGAAGAAGAATTTTGTAGGGGGTGATGGAGGATTGTCGAACAAAATAGAATGGAGCGCAACCAAAGGTTTCTGCTCATGTTTATATATACATCGTGTGAATCTCTAGGGATTTTGGTCGTAAATATAATTATTTGGGCTTAATTAACTAATTAGGGCTTCTGAATAACTCCTTAAAAAAATATTTTCAACGCTCCAAAAGTATTTTCTTTTTTCAAATAAACTGATTTAAGCTTTAAAACATTACATATTTAGTCACTTAAAATTATTAGAGCTTACCGGTCAACGTTACCTGCCAGAACAACATATAATCAAACAATAAATCACATTATTCATAAAATAAACTTATTTAACTGACTAAATAGATATAAATATTAATGTAACTATATCGCTAAAATCGGGGTGTTACATAAAGGAATACTAGGGACATCATAATTCAACTTAGTTTATCTTAGATTTAAATAAAACAGAGACCGTAAAGTGAGTCCAACAATATATGAGTCAACTATGAGGAAAAATTTAAAACAAATGTTTTCAAATTTAAAAATTTTTATTAACGATTGCACATATCTGTTTAAACGCATAATAAATGAAACTCTTTGTTTAAAACCATATCATTTTTTCTGAATTGCCACTGAAACTCGACTCTAACTCGAACTTGATCTTTCTTTATCAAGCCCAATTTTGATTTAAGTATGTTTTTACTTAGACTGTTTTCAATCTCAGACCAGACCAGATCAGACCAAACCAGACTAGACTTGAACATTTATAAAATACACGAAAACCAGACATTTATCAGACTAAACTAGATCAGGTTAGATCAGACCAGATCAGATCAGAAAATTCCAGTCAAAGTAAAAACATCATAAGTCAAACTCGAGCTCGACTCGCTCGGTTAGCTTCCCTAAGTTGCACTTGTTGAAACATTGGTCATAAATAAAACGAATCAAATTGAATATTTATAAGCAAAAACAAAACATTAGGGTTTTGTCATTAATATTAATTAGTATTCCACCCGTGCGTTGCACGGGATGTAATATGTAGATATTATAAATGATACTCCATCTTTTCCATAGAAAAGTTCCTACTTTTCGTTTTTGGACGTTCTATATAAATGTTCTCGTTTCTATTTTAGAAAACAATTTACAATTTGAAATGACAATTTAATCACTGAATATTAAAAATATTACAATTATAACATCACATTTATCAATACTAACTCAACTATACGGAGTATGACAAACCTATTAAAATTATTTCTCAAAATATACTCGAATTAACTTATTTAATTATTGTCTAAATAACTCTGTCGTTTTGCCATGAGAACATTCCAACGTGACGGTGGTAGTATATGAAAAAATAGTGAAAATGATCATCTACGGTAACTCCAGCCAATACAGCGCGTGAAATCAAAAGTTACGTGTGTGGTGAAAAATAGACAGATAAGTCGAAAAAACAGAGTGACCAAACGGACTGTTAGTTTGTCTTCAGGTTAGCCCAGTGCATAGGTGTGAAGAAGAATTATGACTATTTATTTAGTTTATACTTACATAGTATTCCCTCCGTCTCTTTATCTTTGTCCCATTTGACCTTTTTTGTCTGTCAAACTTTTTCAATTCAATTTTATAGAGTATCAGCAACTAAGAAACATTAATACTCCGTATGTTATGTTTATCTTTGGCATATGAATACATTTACTATTGAAATGAAGAACTGCTACTATCTAACTATCAAAGTATAAAATTAGACGCCCTTCACTATAAAAAAACCGTGAAAATATCAAACATTAGAACCAAATCAAAGCAACCCAATTTTAAAATGTTTGTAAGTTTAAAATTCTTCAATGTGTAGTTGAAGTGAGACATACAAATCCAAAAAAGAATTGAAAGTTTATACTTTTGATGTACCAAAGCAGGCCATGCAAAAAATGAAGGTTTGGACTATATAACTAACCTCATGGCTCATACAAATAAAATATGTATATCGCACATATATATCATGTATGATTTTGTTTACAGCTAGATATACCCATTATTTTCATCAAAGTTTACTCTGGTAAACATCCACAATAAGTTTCCCAAACTCACGCGTCCCTGCTAGTCCCCAAATCACATTATACTTTCACAGATGAAAATCCTCAAAAGTCTGAATCTGCAAAAGCATAGGTTTTATACGAATAGTTCAAAAGCCGTACAATGGATAACATTTGGACCAAGATACTCTTGAAAATTAAACCTTATCAAAAACTCACTATTGATGAATAAAACTTACTTATATTGATGAATATCAGCTTACTAACAGTGGTGATACTACCACACAGAGTAAATATATAAGCAATGTTCTTAATTTTCCTATCCTTGCTTTTATCTTCTTTAGAAACTAAAGCTTCACCTTCTTGCCCATTATATTTGTGCTTTTAGTACTATTCTAAGATGGCATAAAGTAGTAATTGGCACACTCATTATGACTATTATGTTATTATCTCCATCTATCCATCTTTATTTTGCAAACTAAGTAACTAATGATAGTCATTTCCTTGTACCACTCGACCTACAATAAGCATAAATATCTATTACGGCGCATGCAATTTGAAAACAACATATTTTACAAATTAGTTGTTACTTAT